TGTGCCCCCCCCCCCAAATAGTAATACATGGGCGCGAAACGTGGATTCCAAGCCCGAAAGTTATTCATAAACCTCAGACTACGCAACGTGGCTGGATGAGGCGCATGTTAGGAATAAGAAACATCAGGAGGTAGATGAATAGGTACAATCAAAAGCCTGTCATATTAATTGCTGAAGGAAGGGCGACTGGTACGTTTCAGAAAAAGCAGGACACGTTGTCCAAAGAACCAGCCATTGGTCAGACTAAGAGATACTAGGATGGATTGTAATATAGGAGTAAGCCGGCAGGAGAAAGACCCACCCCCCCAGATCAATGGCGGAAATAGTCAAGGAAGCTCGCTGGATACAAATCACAGAAAATTGAAGTTTGCGCCAAACCTTGGAGAGACCTTGATTCAACAGTAGTCGGAAAAGGCTAAATTAGAAATGACCAATGTCAGGACTGACTTTTTCTTCGTTGAAATATTAATGAACCAATATTTCAGAGACGAACTGTGGGATACACAGTTTAAGACGCTTTCATGCTGCATATGCGTAGTGATTTTTGACTGTCAGTCTCCTTACCGACTTAATAACTAATCGCAGAGTTTGCAACCTGAGATATCAGGTTGTTTCATGACAGGCCTCTTAACCCTGATCAAATTTGAAGGACAGAATAAAGTCATCGCTAAAAGATCATGAGCAGTACTTTGAACCATCATCATCCTGGTGTTTGTCATAATTATGTTCACTGTTATCATAACGGTTTTTCGATCAGGCGACAAATGAAGTTTTTATCACATCTCTGTCGTGTTTTCTCAGTTACCATGTCCTTGAATAATGTATCCGGATATAATAAATGTAATTATAAAGATAATTATAAAGACATTGGAGAGCAGTTGTAATTTGAATAAAGAGGGGGTAGCACATAAATCACGAATCAAGTCAAAAATTTTTGAATACACGAATCGAACGAAAACAAATAATATCAAAAAATTATAAATCGAAGATCGAATACGTGGAACTTTGCAAAGCTCTAAGCAAACGGAAAATGGAAGACATCTTATGTCAACTGCAGATTTGGAAAAGAAAACGTCGAAAATTGCTGAAGCACGAAGAAACTGAGTGAAACGCTTGTTTGGGGGGGGGACGACGAGGTTTGGGTATCAAAGCTGCTGATGAGACTGCAATCAAGAACAGACAAAAA